TGAATGATGCTGAATGATACTGAATGATGCTGAATGATGCTGAATGATACTGAATGATGCTGAATGATACTGAATGATGTTGAATGATACTGAATGATGGTGAATGATGCTAAATGATGCTGAATGATGCGGAATGATGTTGAATGATGTTGAATGATGCTGAATGATACGGAATGACGCTAAATGATGCTGAATGATACCGAATGATGCTAAATGATGCTAAATGATGCTGAATGATACTGAATGATGCTAAATGATGTTGAATCATGCTAAATGATGGTGAATGATGCTAAATGATGTTGAATGATACTGAATGATGTTGAATGATACTGAATGATGCTAAATGATGCTGAATGATGTTAAATGGTGCTGAATGATGTTGAATGATACTGAATGATGCTTAATGATACTAAATGATGTTGAATAATGGTGAATGATGCTAAATGATGCTGAATGATACTGAATGATGCTGAATGATACTGAATGATGCTGAATGATGCTGAATGATGTTGAATGATTTTGAATGATGTTAAATGATGCTGAATGATACTGAATGATGCTGAATGATGCTGAATGATGTTGAATGATTTTGAATGATGTTAAATGATGTTGAATGATACTGAATGATGATAAATGATGTTAAATGATGCGGAATGATGTTGAATGGTGCTGAATGATGCTGAATGATACTGAATGATGCTGAATGATGTTGAATGATGTTGAATGATGCTGAATGATACTGAATGATGCTAAATGATGCTGAATGATGCTAAATGATGCTGAATGATGCTGAATGATGCTGAATGATGCTGAATGATGCTGAATGATGCGGAATGATGTTGAATGATGCTGAATGATGCTGAATGATGCGGAATGATGTTGAATGATGCTGATCAAATTACAAATAAATATCAAATTACTCTGTGACTCCTCACTTATAAAATATAACCCAGTATCATTCGTGATGACAATTAAAACATATGTAGTTGAAACTTGAATATATGAAAACGTTTTCTGAATTGCCGTTGTTTTGTATTTTGTAAAGATTCTGAGTGGATTTTTCAGAATCTTCAATACTGTAAGTAAAATACATGGAATTGAATGTGTAATTATGACATCACACCTGCAGATATAGCTTTCTGAATGTAAATATGACATCAATTCTGCCAGCAGAAAACGAGCTTCTTTACATGCAGAACATATAAAGCCATGGCCCATGGCGAGATTTGTTTTTGTAACTAAAAAAAGAAGCGAAATACACTAAACGAGCTTACAAACTAAGACAGAGAAAAGAGAGAGAAAAACACAACCTCGGCATTGATAACTTTCAATATCACGCGAAAATTATTAATTATTGTCGTAATAGATTTTTTGAAGTTTAGTAAATTTCGTGTCCGCATGTCCGCATTTTCCACCTGACTTGCGTGTCCGCATGTCCGGTTCCGCATGTCCGCGTTTTCCACCTGACTTGCGTGTCCGCGTGTCCGCATGTCCACGTTTTCCACTTGACTGGCGTGTCCGCATGTCCGCGTTTTCCACCTATCTGCAAGCACAAGCGCTAGTGTGACCGCGACCTTAGTTCTGAACACCTGAAGACTCGCTCAAGTGCTCAACAAGCTACTTGGCCACGATTCTTTGGCAATATTCATAGTATCAAAGAAGTAAAGCAGTTGGTTGAAATTCTACTTTAGCCCGTGAACTGATTGTTAAGTGTTTTTATATTTTAACCCAGTCTACGTATGTTAACATAGGATATATTAAATTACATACAGCAGAATGTACTATGTAATACCACAGCAGAATGTTAATCTATGGGCAATGTCCCTGTTGCTGTTATTCCGCGTGTCGTTGACTCGTTGGATTTCCTGCGCATATTAAATGAGTTAGTTTCACAGTTTGATATTTAAGTTACCCTATCAACCAAGAGCGTCAGCTATCAGAATATAGTCCTTAGTATGGTCTAGTATTGGCCTATTATTATACATAGAGACTTGGGTTACAACTATTTACTATACTTTTTAACTATTTAACTATGTTTGTTAATTTAATACCAAGTATAGTGGGTGGGAAAGGGTATTTTCGTGAGCCGTGAATGGTCAATATTTGTTCGCGTGAAATGTGAAATGCTTGATTTTAGTGTCGTGAAATGTGATTTGTTCTACAGCCGTGAGGCGTGATTGTCGATAAAAATGCTCCGTGAAATGAGAATTAAGGATGTCTGTTTCGTGAACTGTGATTTTGTTTTGTTTATTTCGATCTATTTTATAATGGTCATAATAAACATGATACGCGATAACAATTTATATGATCTCACTCGATTGCACAAGAGTAAAAACTTCGGAGGCCTTTCGGAGGTCGTCGGACATACTCGTCACTCAAACTTCTAACTTTTGATGTAGTTTTTAACTGACAGGTAGAAGAAGTGAGAGAACGTAAAGCGTAGATACTGTACCATGCATTAAACATATTCTTAATGAACCTATTATTATATTATTTTATTAGAATCTAATTTTCCGTGAAATTGCTTTTTAGACACGTGAATCATGAAACGTTTTTTTTTCGTTGAAAAACGTGATCCATACGCCCCTTTTTGCGAAATATTTCAATTACAAATATTTGAGATTTTATCTCATACCTAGCGTATTAGCGGCTTTCCTATTGGCTACGAGGAGGTGCGTTCAATCTCGAACCCACCTGATGACGTATGTTTAGGAGGTGGGTTCGAGATCGATGTTTCGGCGGCGGCCATTATGAAGCGATTTGAACAAATTTCAGGCGAAGATTTAAATAAAAAATAAATTAACTGTTTTTAATTGTTTTATAATTATCAGTTTTTTATTTTGTTTGACAAAAATGGAATATTCTGTATTCAAAGTGGAAGAGAAGAAAGATGGCCGCCGAAGTTTGTTCGGCACGGGCACTGGGCACGGGCAGGTTTATATAAATCTTGGCAATGTTTTCGCAGAATGTGTGCATTTTCTGAGGAATAGAGAATATTGTAGAGAATTTTTTTAGCTTCAATTTAAGCCTAAGTTTGTTTGTTTGCGTAGTATGTTGGCGGCTAAAATGTTCGTTATCCAAACAAGAAATTATATACTGAAATGAGTAAATTCTTCAGTACTTTTTAATATTTTACCGAAATGGCATGTGATAAAAACCAAACGTACTTGCAGGTTCGGTGAGTCCGGAATTGGACGCACCTCGGGACGGGAAACTTCCAGCCACCGTCACCCTAGCTCGGTGTGTCCAAACCCAGACTCACCTCCTTGCAAGTATGTTCGTTATAATACACACTGCTCATATACATGTGCATATTAAATATACACAAAAACTATGGTTTATCGGATGTCTGTACTAAGAACTGAGTCAACTGAGTTATTTGATTGCATTAAATTAGTTTCTTTCCTTTAGTATTTATGCCACGAATTTTCACAGAATTCACAATTTCACCGACAGAGATGAACTTTGTTAAATATCAAGATGATAGACGCAGTTAAGGATTATTTAGTTCCAAAAAGATTTGGTATTGTCGGCTATGTATGTGTAATTGTTCATTTCCTTTGTGGATTGGTATTTACTGCTGTTGCTGCAGCTTTGAGAGATAGCGAGAACGGGAAATTTTCTTGCTCTGTTGATGCTAAAAGTACGGCCACGTACAAGAAACAGGTCGATCAGGCATGTTTGGCAAGGTATGATCAGTCATATAGTCCCCATCTACCTTTGTACGGCTTTGTTTTAGTCAGTATTGGATTGCCAGTTCTTGTCAGTGTTGTTTATTCACTGATAGTGCGCGATCGCGTCGACGAAATACAGTCAAGACATGAACGACAAGCTGCCGTGAATCATGAACAGGACAGGGAAACGGTATATGTTTTTTATTTCTATTTTGTCCACCTTGTTGTGCGTGCGTTATTTGGGATCATTTTAACTGTTTTACAACACAGATATTTCTATTCTGATGGGTTTGATTTCAAATTCAACTGTAATTACAATACTACATTAGTAACATGTGAAAATGCAACCGCATCACGAAAACGGTTATCGGGTATATTTGTGTTTATAATAAACGGTATTGTTGCCTTTGTTATACTTGGGGAAGTTATTTGTCTCTCTTGGCGACGTTTACCATTCCTAAACTCTCGTTCTGGAGTTGGCTGGAGTTGTGATACTGACTTTGTCAGAGCTCATTTTCTTCGCAAGCGATATGCACCTCTTGAACTTCAACTGACACCCATCGAATATATATACTCGTATAAACAACAAATTTTGAGTCGTCCTCGATTTGACTTTTATATTAAACTTGTTATCCACACTGAACGAGCTCCGCATAAATTTTCCAAAGACATGGAAAGACACGAAAAGTTCGATGTTTATATGAAAGTTCCTTCAACCTCAATATGTTTAGAAAATATTAAAGATTTATTTTACCCCAACAAAGATACAAAGGGTAATTTTCCTCGCAGCATTCTGGTGATTGGACGTCCCGGAATTGGAAAAACGGTCTTGACCGAAAAAATTGTCCGTGATTGGGCTGAATCCACTAATCAAATTAATGAACATTATTATGACAAGATCCCCTTCTTTTTTAAATTAAGATGGTTCAATAATACATCAGAAAACATATCCCTAAAGACATTTCTTCAGTCTGGAACGGGACTGAGCGATGAAAAATTTGAAAGTATTTATGAAGAAATTATTAAAAAGCCCAAAAAAGTCATTCTTATTTTTGATGGGTTGGATGAATTTCATGGCAACCAAATCAATTGTTCCGACCAATCCAGAATGATTCCAAATGACCCCAAAACTTGCATGTCTATAATGAATTTATTCGTTAAACTGGTTTTGGGCGACCTGTTGAAAGGAGCAACGGTTCTAGTAACAAGCAGACCGACTGCAGATGATTTTTACTCCAGGCTTGATTTTGATCGAAGTGTGGAGATTATTGGTTTCACTCCCGATAAAATTGAAGAGTATGTCAGCCGATTTTGTAGGGAAAATAACAAAACGGACCTTGAAGTAAAGATATGGGAGCACATCAAATCCTCATCAGAACTGTTGAACTTATGTTACATTCCAGTTAACTGCTTTATAGTGTGTGTTACCCTCTCTGGATGTCTTGGTGAGCCACAAAATGACACAAATGCTCTTCCAACAACCCTAACAGAACTTTACCAGAACGCTTTACGTTATTATGAAAAATACGATAATAACAGAAATACAGAGGGAAACCCTAAGACAACGGAAAAGACTTTAAAGAAACTTCAACTATTAGCATTCCGTGGCATGAAAAATGGCGAACTGATTTTTGATCAAGAATTTGTTGATAAACAAATGAAGAAGTCTTGTTTGTTGAACAGTTTGTCTAACCCTATTTTTCCAATTCAAACACAGTTTTGTTTTATTCATTTAACCATACAAGAATTTCTTGTTGCACGACACGTGACTGAAACACTTGCTCCACCTGAAATAAAGAAGTTTATTTCCGATCATGTTCAAAGTGGTAGATGGCATTTAGTTCTTCAGTTCATTGCAGGACTTTTGGGTAAGAAAACCGAGATGTTTGAGTACAAAGATTGTGTTTGGGCATTTGCAGAAAGTTTCGAAGTTACTCATGGTGAAATTACACTTAATCTCAATCAAGTGTTTCTAATGACATGTTTAATGGAAGTGGACAATGGCGAGATTGCTAAAGAAGTTTTCGAGACAACTGCTTTGAACGATGTTGTAATGCTTGATAATGCTTATTATCATGCTTCCCCAAGTGAAATGGCAGCGGTGAGTTTTTTTTGCAAACATGTGAAAAACTTGGCAAGTTTACAATGGAAACTGGTGAATGCAGGCAGTCTTCAGGTAGTCCTAGAATTGCTGCAAAAGAGATGCATAAAGCAACTAGAATTGTGTGGATTCTCTGAACTTGTGAACAGTGAACATGTATTCAGCGCATTCATAAAATTAAACTGTAAGTTGAACCACAAACACCAGTGGCGTAGCCAGC